TACACAAGTACACATATAATTAGGAAGTTCTGAAAACGCAAATAAAGGTGTTAGGAATGGATGGGTCTGGAAGAAAAGAAATGGATACAGGGAATATAGAAGTGTGTGCAAAATTAGTTGAGATATAGAATGAATCCAACTTTTTTTTTTAATCAAATGTTAAGCTTGATGTGCCTTAGGGACTGTCTGGGAGTTCAGTTGGATTTAGATTTAAAAGAAGCTGTTGGGTATCTAAGTAAGAGSCATGCACTCTAGAGCTAAACTGTATTGTTCTAAATCCTGCTTCTTCTAAGAATAACCATGTGACATTGGGTTAGTTCACCATTCTATGCCAATTCTCTCATAAAAATACTACATATTCCATTGGGTTGTTATAAGAATTGGGTGAATGTTTGTGTATCACTAAAAACATTCCCTATAGGCAATCCTCACTTACCTAGCATTGAAAACATGGAAAGAGTATAGAATTAGAAGATGACAAAATGTAGAACTATAGAGAACAATAAAACTTTAAAGGCATGATAAAGAATTCAACAGGAGTCTGATATCTGAGATAGATACAATCAATCAATCATGTTTGTTCTATTTTCCAATGTTTCCTAAATGTGAACACCCCCCAACTTCTCTAGTGCTATCACCATGTAAAACAAAACAAAAACCCACCAATATCTGTTGCCTGGGTCTATAACACTGGCCAAACAACTTATCTCCCTTCTTTACAATCTAAACAGCACCTCGGATTCCCCATCCCCACCAATCTGTCTCTCACTTCTCAGTTAATGGCACTTTAATCCATCATTGTTCAAACTAACAACCTGGATTCATCCTTTGATTCTTCTGTTTCCCTAATAGACCATATCCAATCCATTAGCACWTCCTGTTGTTTCCTTTTTCAAAATAGACTCAGAATCTTATCCTGGACTAAACCACCATCATCTCTCAGCATTCTACCACAGTATCCCAAATGTTTTCCCCTCCTCTTTTACCAATTTCTTTCCATTTTCCATACAGCAAAATAATTTTTAATGAAACTTGTAAAACATTCCAAAGATCTACACTCCACTAGTCCTGTTTCTCTCTCTTACCTCTCATTTTAGTT